CTGGTTACAGAACCCACTCCTTTCCATAAGCTTCCAGGGACCGCGCCCGGTTCTGAAATGCTCCTCTGGTCTCAGCCGGCTGGTGGCCGGAGCTCGGCTGTTGGAATGAGGCCGTGAGGCCCCGCGGGCGCTGGACTCTCCCTGAAGTCTTACGTTGAAGCCCAGCCCCTTGAGACGGTACTGGAGACGGAGCGCTCAGAAGATGATCCAGGTCAAATGGGGCCGTGAGGGTGGGCCCTGATCCCATGGGACAGGTGTGTCCTCGTAAGAAGAGGCGCCGGGGCTTCCTCTGCCACCTGAGAGCACAGCAAGGAGGCAGCCAGCGGCGTCCAGCAGGAAGGGGCCTCTCCAGAACCGGACCACGCTGGCCCCTGGCCCCAGACCCGTGGCCTCCAGAGCTGAGGGCAACGAAGTGCATCGTGGCCGCGGGCTCGCTCTCCAGTAATCTGCACGGCTGGTCCGGCTCCAGTCTGGGCCTGAGTTTCCTGTCTGTGCACCGAGATGTCCTCCAGCCCACGAGGTTGCCTCTGTCGGGGGGCCAGGTTCCCCCTCTGTCGGGGGGAACAGGAGAGGTTCAGGCCCCACCATGGCCGGCACTTCTCAGTCAAATCGCCGTTTGTCACCCTCTGGACGTCCATGCTCCCTTTGATGACAATGGTCTCCAGGGCAGGGCTGTGGGTGGAGACCTCCTGCAGGCGTCAGGCTGAGCTTCCCGTCAGCAGTTCTCTCATTCGTTCTTTAAATAGCAGCATAATATTAAATACGCCTTTTCTGCTCAGATGCCACCACAAGCCAGAGAAGCAGAGAAGACTCGTAGCCTCCTGGGGCCACTCAGTTCCCCCACGTACCCGGAAGAGAAAACAAGAGCTGGAAGCTCAGAAAGCCGAGGGAGGCTTTAAGACTTTTGATACCAAAGAACGTCGGAGACAATGCTGAATGTCAGTGGCCTTCGGGAGATGCAGAGCATCCCGCGGTCCCCAGCCCGGGTGAGCAGCTGGCAGGGCCACAGTCCGGCAGAGAAGGGCGAGGCGTCCTGAATGCAAAGCAAAGCCCCGAGAACACGGCAAACGAAGGCCAGCAAGATGGCGGACGAGCACGGAGGGAGCTGCCACGAGGGACGTGGAGCTGGAGTGTGGGAGTGACGAAGCCAGGATACGAGCCACAGAGGGAGGTGCCCATGCTGCCGTTCACGTGACGCTCCAGGATATCATGTAAGGGGCTCACGGAAGCCTGCATCCCCCCAAACAACAGAGGATGCGAACATGCAATAAAAACATATACAATACTGCACACATGTTAACACACGCAGGCGGTCCAGGGATGTGCACGGGGTCCAGGAAAGACAGCCACTGGATCAAGACGGCAGGGGGGCAGAGTTGGGGGGCGGGTACGACGAGGGTTCGGGACGGAGAACACAGGGGCACCGACGGCACCCTCGTTTCACTTCTGGACAGAAGGACAAGCACGGGAAAACGTAAACCTGACACTGCCGAGTGGAGGGCGCATGACTTTCATCGTAGCCTTCCACACCTCGCTGGATGCCTGACGCCAGGAGCACGCAGGAGACCAGCCCTCAGGCTGGGGAGGAGCTGGGGCGGCGAGGACGCTGCCTGGCGGGCCTGGGACTCCTGCGTCCGAGCTGGGCTCCAAACAGACACGGGACAGTGGCCACCTGGGCCTCAGGGCTGAGGGACACCTGAGTGGGGAGGTGGGGGCCACAGGCACCAGAGCCCGCTCTCGGGGCCACCGGCCACGTGGGGCGTCCCGATGACCCGCATCCTTAGCACAGAGCCTGTCTTTGCCTGGAGACCGGCGGCTTTTCTTCTGCTGGCTGACCAGCGAGGCGAGTTCTGGGAACGGCCCTAAGAGAAACCCTGAGACGAGGGTCTTTGAGCAGCTGACAGCTGACGGATGACCGCCCGCAGAACGACAAAGGGGAGCTGTGTGGCGGCCGCATCACACCGCCGCGCCCTGGGAAACTAATTGCTCTGAATTGTTCCGGGCAGCATTATTTTTCTGGCAATCATTTTCTTTGAAAGCCCAAAATGAGCATGAAACAACTCTTTTGACCGGACATAAAAGTTAAATGTCCCAATGTTGATCAAATTAACTTCAGCGCTGTGACAATGGACTGTATTTGTGAAGAGATACTGGGGGACAAAGGGGCGCTTTATGCCGAGATTTCACAGTTGTGATGTAAAAATGTTCCTGAGGACCTGGCCCGGCCGCATTGCATAGGGAGACACAAGAGCCCTGTCACTTGTGGAAAAAAAATCTCACTTCACGGCCGAAAGCTTGGGAGAGTCCAGGAAGGACTGTGCGAGCTGCAGTCTCTGCTGCCGAGTTAATGCCCCAAACATTCCCCAAGAGCGTGACTGTGCGCCTGGAGAGGGACCGCCCGTCCCCACGGCGGGCACAAAGGTGCTCGCGGAACACACAGCCCCCCAGAGCCCCGAGGAGGGTCTGAGGCACCCCTCCAGGCGGACAGGACCCCAGGCCCCGCGCAGAGGCCCCAACACAGCCCACTGCAGAGTCTCTGAGCCTGACGCCCTTTGCTAATTAGAGGTTTGTCTTCTTTTAACCTTGCAGAGCGAGAGGTTTTTTCTTTTAATTTTCCTTTTTTTTTTTGGCCCCGACTCGCGGCACGTGGGATCTTAGTTCCCCGACCAGGGGTCAAAACCACAGCCCCTGCATTGGATGCACAGAGTCTTAACCACTGGACCGCCAGGGAAGTCCCAGAACAAGAGATTTAAAGCAAAAAATTATTGCACAAAAACATCAGTTATAATTTACCATAAAAACCCAGACGAACCCACTGGCCGTCCTTTATTAACACTGGAAATCCTATTTTCCAACGTCTCCAAGAGGAATCCTTCCCACTAAGCCCGTCACAGCAAGGGCATCACGGGCGTGGTGCTCTGCAGGGGACACGCATGGTGGGCGCTGCTCGTAGCGTAAACAATTCTGAAAGTTCACACACTTCAGACGGGAGTTTGACTCTCAGGGTTTCTTTTTTTTTTTTTTTTTTAAATAAGCTTTTTATTTTGGAATAATCTTGGATTCACAGAAAAACTGCAAACACAGCACCGGGTGCTTCTCGGTTTTAACCCAAGGTCCCCCCACCAGCTCGTGGGGACAGGACCTGGGCTGACGTGCCACCTCTCCCGGGCCTGACACCCTCGCTCGGGTGGAAACGCGAGCCTGCGAGGCTTTACAGGGAGATTAAGCCGGGAAGGCGGGCTCCCCTCGGACCCCGCACTGTTCCCCTGCGTCCACGCCGGCCGCAGACAATGTTCCCAGAGGTTCCCAACGCCCTGAATGGGAAACTGTTGGTGGCAGCATCCATTCAAAGGGCCAGCATGGCATTGTCCTCCCAATCGGCAGAGAGAATGCGGTCTGCTGGTGGCTGCCAAAAGGTTAGCATCCCCGATGAAAGGGCGGCCCGTCATTCACCGCCGACAGAGCGGCCCTTTGTGCGGGCGGCCCGGCCCCGCGCGGCGGAGGTCCGGATGCGGCTGGCTGAGCGCCCCACAGAAGCCCTTCATGGGAACGCGGAGCCGGGGAAGGGCCCGAAACCCAGAGGCCGCTTTCCCGGGGGTCGCAGAGCACAGGCGGTCTGGGGCAGTGACACATCCTCGGGCCATCCGTCTGACGACCTGACCACAGCCGCCAAGCCCGGCTCATTCCCCATCCAGCCGGCTCCGGCCCCAAAAGGAGGCCCCAGAGACGGCCCGGGGACCGCAGGGCCCCAGCCGCGCCCCAGCCGAGCAGCCCCGGGAGGCAGGTCTGGCCGCTGCGAGATGACCCCTCCCAGGAGGGCCGCTCCCAAGTCTGATGTGACCACACGCGCCCCTGGGCCTCCTCCCAGACCAAGGCACCGTGCGCGTCAGGCCGGTGCCGTGAGGGCAGACAGCCCAGGGCCTCAGCACAGACTGGGCGATGCTGGCGCCTGGCTGCAGACAGGGGGAGGGCAAGCAGACCCCCGTATCCCCCACGTGGGGGCCTCGGACAGGGCAAGGGGCCTGATCTCCGGCAGCCCGGAGGCGAACTGGTGGCCACTGTCTCGTCCCGCTGACTGGCGGCACGGGGACAGGCTCCTGGCCTTTTGGCTCCGTCCAGGGCGCGTCTCGGCTGAGCACGCACACAGAAGGAACAGGCACAACTCATGGTCTGGGCAGGCTGGCGAGGTCCTGGCGAGATCTGAGACCCCGCCCCAAGCCCAAGCGGACCAAAGGCCCCACTCAGGGCACGGGAGCTGGTGGGAGAGGACTCCAGCTGAGGACTCGGCCGCTGGACGCGCTCCGGCAAATCAGGGCCCAACGCAGCCTCTTAATTGGGTGTGAGGAGCTCCCTTTCTTTCCCAGATGACAGCCCATCAGCGGCGACCCCATGAGAGGTCATATGAGACCATCGCAGACAGAGGGAGGGCCTCAGAGGGCCCAGGGGGGAGGGTCCTGAAAACCAGCTGTGACGGGGGCCAGGGTGGTCAGAGGGGTGTGCTGGGAGCCTGGGCAGGTGACGGGAGGGACTTGCGCACTCTGACGACCACTGAGGCTGCCTCCCCTCTGGCCAGGGGTCCGCAGCCGGGCCGGGAAGCTGGGGCAGAGCGGTGCGGGAGGCGGCGCTCTGCCGGGCAGGGCAGACCTGCCCGGCCAGCCGCTCCAAGGGGCCTAGAGCTGGAGCCCGGCGGGTGTGGCAGAGTCTGGGAAGACGCAGCCCGCGGCCAGCGGGACCCCAGGCCAAAGGAGACCTCCATCTACCATGGCTCATCTTCCCCCCGAGACGGAAAAGAAAGTGAGGCCACCCGCCGTCCAGCGCGTCTGGACGGGATAACGGGAGCCTGGGGGCAGGGGTCGGGCTTTGTGCATTATCCCTGGGTCGACATTGGCAAGTTTCGTATTTTTGGTAAATAGGAAAAAGCTAACTAGGAAAAATGGCTTAAAGAGCAAGCTGCACTCCTCCCCGGAGGTGGGCGGGGGGAGGCCCCCCTCAGTACCTACCTGTCGAGCACGTAGCCCAGGGCCTTGTGCCGGATCCCCGAGTACACAGAAGGGCTGGTCTCCCAGGCAACCAGGTTGGAAGCATCGTGGAAAAGATGGATGTTCACCAAGTCGAAGGCACTGCGGGGACAGAAACAGGAAGCTCGGAGGAGGGCTGGAGCTGCCCGGCCGCCTGGGCCAGTCCCCCCATATGCCGCCCCACCTGGCTCCTCAAGGCAGGTGCACCCATGCTGCCCAGGCGTGTCCTCCCCCGAGGTGTGGTCAGAGAGGACACACAAGACCCGGAGTCCTCACACAGTGAAGTCCCCACATGGACGCGGGTACTCGGCCAACGGAAAAGGGAGCTGTTTCTCTGAAGAAAGGGACCTACACAGGATCCCAGGAACTTTCCTCAGAACGGGGGGGGGGGGGGGG